AATCTGTTCTAAACTTGGAAGGTGCCGAGTCCTGTCAGATTTAGATCAGGCTAGCTTTTTTTAAATTCATGCTTGCACATGTGAAATTAATAGTAAAACTTAATGATGGGACAAATACATGGTTGTTTGATCATTTACTTGCTAATCCAGCTGCTTTCTGGGTCATCCACAGAAATCACCTGCTTTATACCCTTGTAGCGGGATTGGGCAGGAATAAACTAAATCACAGAATCACTTCTCTTAACTGGATGTGGTGGTGGGAGAAATTATTGTTGTCTTATTTTTGATTAAGAGGGGGAAAAATGTCATGTTAATTGCATGTGAATCTCTGTTGTGTGCATCAGGCAATCAGTTGAAAACAAATCAACAATCTTGGCTACTACCTTTTAGTTAAAAGAAAGAAAGAAAGGGCCAGCTCTTTCTTGAGAGTGGGCATCGTCATCACAAATAATATTGCGTTATTAAGGTTGAATCAATGTAAAACTAACTTTAGCTCAAGAGATTTATTCACAAACATTGCACATTCTCCAGTGCCCATCTAAATGGTGTCCAACCCCATGCAGAGTTGCTCGAACAGGAGGTTGGACTAGAGGATCTCTAAATTTCTTTCCAACCCTGTTATTCTATGTTCTGTGTTCAGAAGGTTTTTAAATTCACTTGTTCTCAGCAACATTAAAGGGCGATGTGCATCTTCTGGCTAAAAAGAATTTACAATCTGAAAGCAAGTGTTGAGGACTGGGTTGCCAGTTGATTGCTTTCCCAAAGGTAGAACAAGGATAGAAAGAGGAACAATCAGTATTTGTGTTAATGAAGCGTAAGAGGGAACAAGTTGCTGTCTGAAATACTATATATTTTTTTATTAAAAGTTTTATAAAGATTACAGTATAAACCCCCCCACCCCAAAACCCCTCCCTCCCCCTCCCCCACTTCCCAGAGCTGAACACAGGGTTACAAATATAATAATCAAAATCTATCTAGCATTAACCAACTATTAAAATAACCAAGTCCATAATGCGCTTTAACTCCCCTTTGACACAAATTTAAACAAATTAAAATTAAACACAATAATAAACATATTCATAACCTAAATATTAAACAATACAATACTAATATTAAAAATAATAACATCATATAATTAAAACTAACAAGAATTCCATTAAAATAAACTATTAATAATAACAATACTCTAGAGTTTACTCATAACCCAAATGAAACTTTTTAGTCCCATATTTATTCTGAATATAGTCTATCCATCTTCTCCAGACCGAGATGTATCTTTCTTGTGATTGATCCTTCAAATAAGCAGAAATGTTAGCCATTTCTGCTAAATTTGACACTTTAAGCGTCCATTCTTCTATAGTGGGCAAAGAGTCTTTCCAAAATTGGGCTACCAATAATCTTGCAGCTGTTGTAAGATTCAACATCAAATTCATTTCTTTAACATCCAAATCTTCCATAACGCCTAACAAAAATAACTGCAGTGTGAACTTTATCTTTTTCTTAAAAATATTTTGAATATTCCACCAAATCTTAATCCAAAATGCTTTTATATCCCTACATGTCCACCAAATATGAAAATAAGTTGCATCTAAACTTCCACATCTCCAACATTTGGGCTGTAAATTAGGATACATACAGGACAGTTTTTGAGGATCCAAATGCCACCTATAAAACATCTTATAAAAATTTTCTCTTAAATTTTGAGCTTGAGTAAATTTTACATTTCTAACCCAAATTATCTCCCATATTTCCAATGAAA